CATTATCTGGTGACATTGGATGAAGATTTGACAAAGGAGATTGAAAAAGCTTGGCGATATAGCCAGGAGGGGTTCCAGAAGAGAGTAGTGCCATGAAAATGTGGAGAGAAGAGAGGAACAAGGGGAAGAGGATGATTGACAGTGTCAAAGGCAGCAGAGAGGTCAAGAAGGAGGAAGATTAAGAAAAAGGTCATTAAGATTTGTCAATTAAGCAAAGTGGTTCACTAAAGGGTCAATATGAGAAAAGGAGGAAAATGTAACTAGTAAAGGGATGAAGTCTAGGAGAGAATTATAAGACTGAGGCAATGGAAATCATAGAAAAGGGCAAAGAAGAGGGCTTGGGGAGGCACGACAGAGAGAGAGGTGGAATAACGATTATGATTAGATAAGGACATGTCAGAGTTCATGAATGTGCAAGTTACATTTGTGGGCAATGGCAAACTCCAAAGTATGACTATCTTTGTGTGTAGCTGAGATGTGGTGGAGTAGTAGGTTATAGGAAATGAGTAAGTTGAGGAACTGTGAAGTTAGGGTGATATCAATACATATCTTTAAATTCTCTAGTATGAGTTTAAAGAACAAAAAAAAATTGTGAGCTAAGCACTGAGCTCATTGAAGAAAGATGGGAAATGTCCTGGAGCTTATTACATAATAGCTGCCAGAATTTTGATTGAATAGTAGATCTGAACATACCACCATTTTCTTGTAATAGCAAAATAAATCTTTTAACAGAACAGAAAAGCTTCTTTTAAAAGGTGTGTGCATAGAGACTTGATAACTTTACACCTCATATTATAGGATTTAATGATGATATTAAAGATTATCTAAGCCAACTTCTTCATTTTATTGATATTGATAAAATGGGAAATTGGAATTTTGAAAATCACTATGTACCATAAAAGATCATAAAATACTGTAATTGGAAGGAATCAAAGAAGTCATACAGTCCAACTTAACATAGGCATCCTTCCACAACTTCTCTAACAAGTAGTCACCTAGTCTCTACTTGGACATCACTACCTGTTAAGACCCAAAGGGGAATGGGTTGCCTAGCTGTCTTTTGTTTATTTATTTATTTTCGGCTAGGCAGTGGGGTTAAGTGACTTGCCCAGAGTCACACAGCTAGTGAATGTTATGTGTCTGAGACTGGATTTGAACTCAGATCCTCCTGACACCAGGGCCAGTGTTCTAGCCACTGTACCACCTAGCTGCCCCTCTCAGCTGCCTTTTGACTCTTTGCTTGTGGGCACCATCTCCAACTGGTGAGTTCTTTCTGGAACCTTTATTTTGGGAAAAGGTCCCAGACCAGCCATACCTGACTCTCCAGACTTGGTCATTACGTCCCTGCACAGCTACCTCCTTTAGTCAACTGATTTTCAGTTCTCCTTTTGTGTATTGTTTTGTGTGTATTCTCTTATTAAAATGTATTTGCTTGTACTTGTATCCACAATGCTTATCACTGCCAAATGGTCGGCACTTAATAAATGCTTGTGGCTTATTGTTTGTTTGCAGTATTTTGTTTACCTGTCACTGGAAATCTTCAAGCAAAATCTATATGCCCACTTGCAGGGTGGAGGTGGGAAGATTGTTCATGTGTTATTTGGAGTAGATAAATTCTGATATCCATTCCAATTCTGAGTTTTTGTGAAGAAAAAATGTATAGTGACTGAGAGTGGGAAAAGGTCTTGAATGGGTGTGAAGGGATCTAAGTTCATATAGAAGTTCTGTTATTAACTTGTGTAAAACAAGACAGGTCACTTTCATTGCTTTTATTTCCTTATCTCTAAAATGGGAATAATAGTTGTCCAATCTACTTCATAAAAATGTTAAAGATATCAATTAGAAAAAATAATAAATATACTAATATATAAAAGTCTGAAAAATACAAAGTACTTTTCAAGTGCAAATGTTTATTATTTTAATTATTCCATTTATTTATCTTTTCATCCATTTAGAAGTATTAATTTTAATGGCATCATAACACCATTATCTTTTAGGGATGTTGTACAGTATACCTTTTCCCTTCATCACATCTGTTCATCTGTTTTTAGGGACATCAGCTACATACTTGAATGGAACTATGATCTCAGTGATATGGGTACAGCAAAATGCAGCTCACGCATGCCCTCTTATTTTGCATGAATCTTGCCCATATCTATAAATCCCATAAATGAAAAATATATACCTTTGAGTTAGATGTGGCTTAGGAGTAAGAATGACTAGTCGGAAAACACTGTTCTATTACACATTAATAAAATTGGACTGGGCCTGTGATTTCATAAATGCAGGAAATTCGTGAGGAGGAATTTTCCTTTTATCAATGTAGGTCAGCACCTGTTCTTAGCTTGGAATCTTAGAAAATTGCTTGAGCCATTGAGAGATTGTTATTTACCCAAGGTGATACAGGTAATTCAGGTGTCAGAAGCTAGACTTGGACACAGGAGTTTCAGATTCCAAGGTTCTTCTCTCTACTAACTATACCACACTGCCTCTCCCATTATATATAGATGGAATAAATTTATTTATGGTATAGTATTCATTTTTTCTAATACAACTCTTCTTTGTCATCTGCTATACTTTCTTTTTATAAATGCAGAACATTCTATTTATTAGGTCAATAATTCATTTTTAGCAATACAATTACAGAATACCACAATACTGGTTACAAACACACTCACTATGGTTTGATGGTTACAAATAATGTTGGGCACTACAAGTCTGTGTGAAGTATGATATGAAAGGTTATTCTTGACACAACAAAGAATTATCTTCAAAATCTAGTAATGACCTAGTAAGTTGCTTGTAATAGTCAAGCAACTACTTTTATTTTATTTTTTAAAGAATCCCATTAAATTAAAATCCCCTGTAGCAATAAAGTATAAAAACAGTACTGAACTTGTTATTATTTAATAAATGTAGCATTCATTCACACCATAAGGATAGAACTAAATTGTAAAGTTTTAGTTACCATGGCAATATAGCTTCCCATAAGAGAAATGTACATAAATGAAAAATGTTACATAAATGGTTCCTGCGACAGTTATTTAGTGATCCAGCACTTAGCTTGTGCACCACAAAGTTTTCTAGTTATTTATATATAATATATATATATACATATATATAGAAAATATATATAAAATTTTTTTATCTTAAAATTTACCTTTGAAAAAAACGTACACTTCAACAAACTCACAAGGCCACTCATGCTATAGATACCTAAGATTGCAATTAAAGTACAGTATTATTAAACACAAAATCCTAAAGCACACTCCTTTGAAATCACCAACAGAGAAAAACTAGTTTCACTACCTAAAACTTTCCTGAGATTTGGGGACAAAAACATACCTAGTGCTCTTCAATGTGGTGATTAATCTAGATTTCAGGGTTTTTTCCAAACTTTTTTTTTTCTTGGCAAGAACTGAGTTTCTCCAAAGCCAAAAGTTTAAATGTGCCTTCATTTCTATGACAAGAAAATAAAACCCCAAAAGGAAATCTGGACTCACAAGTAAGCATTTTTCTGGCAAAAAGTTCTGCCACGAATAGTAATTTGTAGGCAGCACAGGCAACAAAATATAGTACTTTACAAATCAAGGAGCATCTCATACACTTTGCTTCTCACTGCATCCTTGTTTCAAATAAAATTTATGCTAGCAGTTTGGGTGTCTTAGGCCTATGTTTTCTGCCTAGTACTTTGCCAGCGCATGGGATAACAGGAAGTAGAATATGCATTGTCCAGTAGTACAGAAGCAGCGCAGTTCAGCATTTGGGGAAATCATTTTTAGGACATCCTAAGCCATGACCCACTTTTCTAACAAATTAGGCCCAACATAAACTTTGTAAATCCTTCCCCCTCACCCTCACAAATAAAAATACCCCTTGTGTGCAATAAGTTTAAACAGCAGGTATCGAGATAATAGGCAGGAGTGAGTGTCCTTCTACAAAGCAGTGGCAGAGATTTGTTAGTAATAGGTGGTAAAAATGCTCTAAGCAAAGTCAGCTTGGGGGAACCATAACAGCCTACAGCCTAAGAAAACATATGTGAACCCTTAATCTTAAAGCAGAGCTGTATGGGGCAGGCTAGTGTTAAATAAGTGCTTATCAACACAATCAACTTCAGCAGTTCTAAACCTTAAATAGATGACTGGGCAAGAGAAGGAATAAAATAGGGGATGGTAGGAATGTCCTCTAAAACCATAACACTTTTGAACACAACATAACCGTTCATGAAAGTGAAATGTTTTCCAAGCACTGAGTAAGCATAACAGACAGTTTAATTCATTTCATTGAGTCTTTCACTCTTTAATGGTCACATTCATCTCTTTCAGTCATACAATGCTCCCCTAATTAAAGGAGAAACCTTCCACTTACCAGGGAATTGTTCCTTATTAACAATAGAAATCACTAAAATAAACCCACAAATCCCTCTTTCTTTTCACCTTTTCTCTTTCTCTAAAAATGGGAAAGTTTGCATTAAATCATGAAGGTTAATGAGTTCATGTAAACCTACATCAAAATGATGTTAAGGCATCTACTGTATTTTTGAAGATAAAACCCAGCTGTCTTTTTCCCTTCCATACACTCAGACTTTTTCCATTCTCAAGTGTAAAAGCATTTTAATGTATTTTATGTTTAAAATACTGTTTTTATATTCCCTTGCTACTATGCCTATAATAGCAGCATATACCATATAGCATTCATAATATCATGAATTCTGGAGCAGGTTGGGTGGGTGTGGAAATGAAACTGTCACTGTCTACTTGGACCCTAATCCATCCTCTCACTGGGGAGCCTTAGCCTATTATTTTTCTACCTACCAATAAAAAGACATACTACTTGATTTCGTGGTATTTAAAATTTGTTGGTTACCAAATCTATTACAGAAAGTATTTTCCCAAAGTAAAAACTATATTTAGACCCTACTTTTTGCAATATTTATGTGACTTTAATTCTTTCTACAAATACACATATTTAGCAAAATAATTTCTTTCTTTGTTTTACAGAATTTTTTTACCTCATGATTTTAGGATTTATACTTACAATGAAGAGGGATTTTTATCCTCCCTTGTTCCTTTTTTTAAGGTATGGCTTACACATGGTCATTAGATTTGTAATTCTCTTACAACTTTATCAAGTGATTTAGAGTGACTTTTTATGTATCTCTATTCTTGAGCAAAACAATTTTAAGGATAATTTTACTCCCTTTGAAGGTCATATTCTATTAGATTTAATGTGTAGACATCATTAAGTTTTGAAGGCAGTGGTTTTTGAGGTCATGAACATCTTTATATTTTGGACTCAATTAGTCACAAAAGAGGTGCTTATCAGAGCTTGAAAGAGTCGTTATGACTAAGATCAAGGACAATTATCTCTGAATGCAAATGTATATCCAGAAGTTTAGTGCTGAGAATTTGAGGGGCACTCTAAAAGCATTCATGAGAGATTGTAGGCAATTAGGGAAAATCATTAAAGTCAATTAAGTACTTAATGTGTGTAGAGCCCCAAGTTCTCAGTACTGGGGAAGATACAATGTTTAGCTAAGATACATTCCCTGCCTGGAACTTACAGTCTAACAAAGCAGATAATACACATAGATAGATAAGTGTAATATATGATAATTACATTAGAGAGGTGCAAAAGGTGTATTGAGAGGTAGTGTGGTACAGTAGATAGAGTACTGGACTTGGAGTCAGAAAAACCTACATTTGAATATTGCCTCAGGCACTTACTACCTGTTTGACCTTGGACCTCTATGTCCTCATCTGTAAAATGGTGGAGTTGGACTCAATCAACTCTAAGATCTATTTTAGTTTTAAGTCTATTATCCTATTATAAAAGAAAATGCCATGTGATATCCAAGCGTTTGACTTGAGCTTTAAAGAATGGGTGGAAAATCAATAAGTGAAGAGAGGGAAGGAAGCTAAGTCTTCCCATATGTTAACAAACTATAAAGGTTTTAATTATGACCTGAAAACCAGGTGAACTAGGTTCAGAGAGTCATCATCAGGAATATTAGCTATGAAAATGAAAAAAAAATCATTTTTGGTCACAGCAACTCAAGAAAGCCATTTGCAGAGGCATATAAGAGCTATAATCTATCTCAGTGGAGAGAGTACACACACTCTCAATTCAACAAGCATTGAATTACTTTGAGAGATGCAGCTTCATGTTCAGATCCTCATGGCCTTGAATCTGGACTATTGTAATAGCTGTCTATTGATTGCCCTATCTCAAGTCTCACTCCTCCTCTCTCCAAAGTGATTTTCCTAAAGCACTGGTCTGACCATGTTACTCTCCTGCCCATTATCAATAAGCTCAAGTAACTCTCTAGTACCCTTTGGATTAAATACAAAGTTCTCTCTGCCATTTAAAACCTTTTCTAACCTGGTTCCAATTGCCTTTCCAATCTCATTCACTACTACCCTCCATGCACTGTGATCTGGCCAAATTTACTTTCTTGCTGTTCCTCACATATGACACTCCATCTTTCCCACCTCTCTTACTTTGTACAGGTTGTTCCCCAAGCCTAGAATGATCTCTTTCCTTTGGATCTGCTGTTACGTTATAGCATACTTGCTGTTCCCTGAATGTCGCCTTCTGTTTCCTTCCTCTGTGCTCATGATTAGAATATCTTTCCTTCATACCTCTCTGCCTAGCTTTCTTCAAGGGCTTATATCATATGCCATATTCTGTGGGGAGGTTTTTCCCGATTTCCCTACTTAATGCTTTTTTTTTTTAGGCAATTGGGGTTAAATGACTTGCCCAGGGTCACACAGCTAGTAAGTTTGGTCTGAGGCCGGATTTGAACTCAGGTCCTCCTGACTTCAGGGCCGGTGCTCTATCCACTGTGCACCTAGCTGCCCCCCTACTTAGTGCTTAATTTCCTCCAATTATGCTTTATTTACATATTGCATATCCCAGTACAATATAAGCTCTTTGAGATCAGAGACTGTTTTTTTAAATTTTGGAATCCACAGTACCTTGCACAGTGCCTTTTATGTAATGGGAATTTAATAAACACGTTGAATTGAATTGAATTTTTGGAGCGTTGCACTTAGAGATAACAATAAAAGTATTTGACAAAGTGGACTAAAATTTTCCTTAAAATATTATACATTAACTACTTTTATTGAGGAGATGATAAAAGTACAAAGTCAATTTTTTCATCTAGGGTTGTGTAGAAATACACAGACTCTTTTTTATTTGGGTTGTGTCTTCTACTTTAAAAAATAAAGATATGGTAGGAAGAATAACAGTAAGGCAGCAATTTGTAATCAGTTAAAGTCTAAAGATGCATAGAATAGCAGAGAAAATTAGAGTCTATATATATATTTATTAGCCTATGGAGAAAATGCTACCAAATTGGGTCTGTTCAAACCAAGTGCTTTTCTGATGTTGGAAATATGACACATAGCTGGTAATTATGAATAATATATGTTTATATGAGAGACATATATAATGTCCCAATTAATGTTCTTTTCTTCTAATGAAGACAGGGAATCCTAATAGTGAAGTCTAAGAGGGGATCCTAGGATCTAAGCATTGATTGAACTCCTGCCGTATTCATAGTGTAGTTGATTTAGTATATTCTGAATATCGTTTGAAAAATCTTAAGGTGATTTTAATATGATGGTATCAAATCTTTGAGCAACTCTTATGTCCAACAAATTACTCTATTTGTACTTAATTTTCAGAATTTTTGCTTCTACGAAGGGCATGTGGCAGATTTCCCAAAATCAGTTGTGACACTTAGCATCTGTTCTGGAATCAGGTCATGGACATATCCTTTTTATTGATTATAGAATGTTAAATAGGAAAAATCCTCTTTTATTTTATCATATTCAAAAGTATAAATGGGGGGAGTGCATGATGGGAGCAGTTATCTAAGATGTGGAAATGGAATGGGAATGGTTTATTCCTTCTGTCCTGAAAATATTAGCAAGTAGACACTGATAGTATAATAATGATACTAAACAACATAAAAACTGTTTTTTTTTGTAATACGTATTGAAGTGGCTCTATTTTTGTGCCAGTTTCAAAAATGGCTTCAGATTTGCCTGTCACCCACAGGGATCATGGTTTTCCTCATAATAAATCTGTGCTGTCATTGATTCAGAGGTTTCCTCCTATAATACAGATCACAGCTTAACCATGCTAGCTTTTCCTGGTTAACTCCTGTCCATGTACTCCAAAAAATTCTCCAAATGAATTCCACTTCACCTGCTAAAGGCTTTCCTTACTTTTCCCTCACCCTGTAAGTGGACATTCTTGTTGTCCACTGATCTTTACTTTGTATTATACATTGCCTTGATGATGTCTTTCACTCCTTTTTTTCAGATTTCTTTGGCAATTTTGTATTACAACCAGCTTACATCCACTATGTACTTCTCCATTGTTTTAGTCATACTTAGCTCTTGCTGCCATAGAGCAACATTCTTAAAATATTGATATGGAAAAGATGGGCCTCTGCTCTCAAAGAAAGCTTGTAATTAGTAAAAGATCATTATGATTTCGCAAAAGCAGTTGGGCAATATGTGTTGAATGGTATGATTCTCAGCACACTTTTGTGAAGTTTGGTAAATGTGTTGCTACCTTAACCCCCATTTTTCTCATTCTGAGATATCCTTGGTAGAACTCTTTACTATTTTCATTATACTGAAGTTTTAATTTTAATTATTTTCAAATGTGGTGTTTGAATTTATAGAGGTTGGTTACAATTTGAAAATTTCACATATGGAATTGAGCCTCTGGAGTCTTCAGCAGGATTTGAGCATGTGGTTTATCAAGTAAGAAATGAAAACACAGATGTCTTCCTATATGCTGAAAACAATATAAATATGAAGTCAAGAAAATTGCCTTATGAACTCCAGATGGTTAATGTAAGTAATGATTTGCTGCAATTATGCCATTTGTAGACTATAAACAATATTCTTTATCACCTACAGATTGCATATCATCATCCAAGGTTAAGATTCTTAATCCGCAGTTTTTGCGAAGAGATTTCAAAGCATCATCCAGCAGATCTTTGTTGCTTCCCTGCTGTTGTCATGCCTCCTCAGTGGTTTTTTATTGTCTACACACTTTGTCCTCACTCCCCTGGAGATATGAAATAGCTTCTCCTCACATCAAGATTGGGAGACCCTATCTTAGTGCGGGCTTATTAGATGGGAGATAAAGACCATAAAAAGATTTAGAGTCAAAGAATTTAAATCTGGAAGGGAACTGAGAGATCACAAGGCAAACCTCATTTTATTGATAAAGAAACTGAGGCCAGGAGAGATGTATTCTCTTGTCCCAAGCTCACAAAAGTTAGTGTCATGCTTCCTTCTCTCCTTTCACAAGAATTTACTGAACACCTATGGTATTCATAGAATATATGTACTACTTTGAATATTACTTGACTAAGTTATTTTTCATTTTATATTACAAGTGTATAATACTTGTATAAGACTGTAATACAGTGGTATCAGATCCTTGATCACCTGGCATAACCAGTTAATCACCCACTTGCTTGTTAAAATGCTGTTACAAAGAAATCAGTTGCATATTTGTTTACATGTTAGAGAAGCAAGGTAATGTAGTCAGCTCCCTCAATGAAAATTCAGGAACACTGAATTCTGAATTTTACTCTGCCTGTTATTTCTACTCTTTCTTTGGATAAATTCATGATTTGTTTAGAAAGCCAAGCATTGCAATGAATAATTATTATAAAATACCTTGTACAAAAAAGAGCGGAAAATTATTCCTCTTCTTTTTGAATGAACATAATTTGTTTATTCTTTTGTTTTTCCTTAAGTCTCTCTGAAAAAAATTTGATATCTTTTGTTTTCACATCACTTTGATTTCTGAATTTATCCTTCCTTCTTCTCCTATCTATTTAATCATCTCTTGTAACAAAGATCTAATGAGAAAGAGAAAAAAAATCAACTAAGTCTGACAGTATTTGCAATGTTCCATACATATGGGCCCCCAACCTCTGCATTTTCTCATCTCTTCTTCAAGAACAAGTTCTATGATGATAAGTATTTAGTAGTCAGTTTTGTTTTTGGTTTCATTGTTATTTTTGTTGATCTTTCCACTTACATTGTTTTAGTCAATTTGGAAATTGTTTTTCTGGTTTCACTGACTTTAGATTATACATGAATTTAGATTGAGTCAAGCATATAGTCTTCACTCCAGTTCTCAGGTGACATTGAGTTTACTAAAATTTAGGATAATTCAGTAAATATTTATTGTACTAGCTAGTGTAGTATAGATGCAAGAGCAGGAAATTGACCATCAGACCTGGATTCAAATCCTCATTCTGTTGCTTCTATGTGGGACAGAGACCACTACTCAAATTCAAAACAAAGACTTAGATACCTTGAAAGTAGAAATGAGTTTATTGCTTTCTCATGAGAAAGAGTACCACCCTTCAGGAAGTACGAGTACAAGTTGGTTACAGAAAGCAAGGCTTATTTATACCCTAATGTGAGTTCCTCCTCCCTAACCTCCTTTCCCTTATCCCATTGGCCTGGCTTCAGGGGGCACAATCTATTCATGGAAATCTTCACCAGTAACAGAGAGCAAAGGCGGTTACAGAAGTTTGCCCGGAGACAAGAAAAGGTGGGAAATCTTGCAAGGGTAAACAGTTTAGGTTGGGGGTAGGGCTATTTTTTCTGCTACTTACTTAAAAACAGAGTCTGGGGAGTTTTGTCAAGGTCAGAAGGGAGTGTGTTTCAACAATACAATTAAATTCCTTGAGAAAGCCATCTACAACAGGTGCCTCCAATTTCTCTCCTCCCACTCTCTTCTTAACCTGCTGCTATCTGGCTTCTGACCTTACCATTTAACTGAGACAGCTCTCTCCAAATGACCAGTGATCTCCTAATTGCTGCCTTTTGTGAGAACTATTAACAAGAACTATTAACCCTTTGAGGAGGCTTCACTTCTGAGAGATCATCTTTCACACTTACTACCTGTGTGACATTGGAGAAGTCACTTAATCTCTCTAGATCTCAACTTATCTATAAAATAAGAGAGATGGATTGAAATTGATATTTCCATAGTACTTTAAGGTTTATAAAGCTTTCTCCCCACACACACAGTGACCTTGTGAGGTATGAATTAGAGATATTATAATCATTTTACAGAAGGATATATGAAGGACTTGCTTATGGTCAGCACAGCTAAGCAAGTGTCAGAATTGGAATTTGAAGTCAGCTGTCTCTTGATTCCAAGCCTCTTTCTGTCATACTACTCTGATTTCTCAGATAGCCTAAACGCTATGTTTCTTTGACCTTTTAAAGTATCTTTTAAGTTTAGAGTACTATTCTATAGGTAATAGAAAGTTATGATAATTTGTAGCAAAGGCAAATTTCAGTACTAGGTTGTAGATAACCTCTAATGGCAGACCTAAGAGTTTGAATAGTTATAGTCCTTGTAGGATCAAAATAATAAGTCATGGAGAGGTTTTAATTGTCTCTCTGGGTTGTTTCTAGGGATGCAAATTGAACAAATTCTTACTTCACTATATATTTCTAAAGTGAACTGTAAATCCTAGAATAACCCTGAAGAATTTCAACCTGGGATCATCTTAGCCAAAACTTTTTTTTTTGAGGCAATTGGGGTTAAGTGACTTGCCCAGAGCTACACATCTAGGAAATATTATGTGTCTGAGGCCATACTTGAACTCAGGTCCTCCTCCAGGGCTGGTGCTCCATCCATTAGCCAAAACTTTCTTAGAAACTTAATCACCTTTTTCCCAGTCTCTCTTTATCCATAGTCCACAGGTGTTTTAAAACCTTGAAAAGCTCCTTTGATGTCCTATATATAGCACAGTCTCACTATAATGATTTATATGGGGGATACCTAGAAACTTGGCCCAATACTTGTGGGGAAAATTGGTTATAGGATGCAGAATAGCACCCTTTAGGGAGCATCACATTAACTGTTGGATTAATTAATGAAGATGAAAGCCAGAAAATCTTACCAGGTCTTTTTTTTTTTTTGAGGAGTTCTATTTTACAGCACAGTCACTTCCCAATGACTACCCCTCCACCAAATTTTCCCTTGTAATGAAAAAGTGTAGTCAAGCAAAACAAATCAACATATTAAGCTTACCTGAAAATGTATGACCCATTTTCACACCTATAATTTAGTACTTCTGCTGAGGACACATGCTTCTCCATCAGTCCTCTAAAGTCATGGTTGGTCATTTCATTGATCAGCATTCTCAAGTCTTTTAATGTTGTTTTTCTTTACATTATTGTGGTCATTGTATAAAATTGTTATCCCAGTTCTGATCCTGATAACTGATCCTGGTTACTAATCCTGATCCAGAATCAGCTCATTCAAATCTTTCAAAGTTTTCCTAATTCTTCATCTCTTCAATGAATACCCACTTTCTTTCTAATTCCTTGCTATTACAAAAGTACTGTTGTACATTTTTAATATATGGTATGTTTCACTCTGTGTTTGACTTACTTGGCCTATATGCCTAGTAGTGGCATGGTGAGGTCAAAGGATATGTACACTTTAGTACCTTTTTTTCCTTTTAGCATAATTACAAATTATTTTCCAGAATGGGTAGACCAACATTACATTATTATATTTGTCTTCCCATAGTCCCTCTACCATTAATAATTTTTTCTTCTGTCATTGTTTCTACTCTGATAAAACCTCAGAGTTGTCTCAATTTGCAGTTTTCCTACTATTAGTTGTTTGGAGAAGTCTTTCATATAATTGTTGAAAGCTTTCATTTTTTCTGTTGAATATTACCAGTTCATATCCTTTGATCATTTATCTGTTGCGGATTGGCTCATGTTCTTATATCTTTGTATCATTTGCATTCTTATACATTTGTAACATCATATTATTCAAAATATGGAGACTTGTTTACATAAAGCCCTCATGGAGAAGATTTAGTAGTTAGCAGGTGTTTGAATCTTAATTCTCTTATTATTTCTGAAAGGACAGTCAATGCATATCATACCAGGCAACTCAATGCCACAGAAAAACTAGAGATTCCATCACTTCTAAGCATTGGGTAGGTGTTGTTCACCACAAGAATGGCTAAAAGTGGAATTTCAGTTTTAGCAGATACTTCAGATTTCTCTGTGCAATATTATTGACAATATATTCATTGAATTGTAGACACTAACACCTGATGTTATCCCAGGCCCTTAAGGAATTTCTGCACCATTGAGAGTGGGATAGACTCTAGGACCAGGAGCAGTTTTCCCCAAACCTTTGGCTCTGCTCATACACTTAGGTACCTTGTTCATATGTATTGCCTGCTTCAGTTCATGCATGTTTCTAAGGAAAAAATCTCCCAGTAGGATTAATCCTTTGGATTTACTTGAGACATGTGGGAGTAATTGGCCCTCTTAAAAGCCACATTGAGGCAGCAAGTTGGTGCAGTGCTTAGAGTGCTCTAGTGTTTTTGCCCTGGGTTTTATTTACTTAACGACTATTCATAAACAACATTGGTCTATGTGTCTTTTTCTCTTTGCTTTATCCTTCCCTGGTTTAGGTTTTAGGGATATGTTTATTTCACAAAAAAGAATTTGCTAATATGTTTTATTTCCAATTTCTGAGAATAATTTGTATCATACATGTTAATTGTTCTCTAAAAGTTTGGTAGAATTCTTCTTTAAAGACATTAGAAGCTAGGTGGTGTAATGGATACAATGTTGAACTTGGGGTCAGGAAGTCCTGAGTTTGAATAATATCTCAATCACTTATTATCTGTGTGAACTAGGGTAAGATTTATAACCTCTCTTTTCTTTAGTTTCTTCATTTGTAAAATGAGGATATAATAGCACCAGCCTACCAGAGTTGTTGTGAGGATCAAATGAAATAACATTTATAAAGCATTCTGCAAGCCTTAAACTACCAC